TCTGATCCACATCACTGCTGTCCTTCGTTTTCATCAACCGCTCCTAGCCTCCTCTCTGCCCAGATATCCTCTGCTCTGCCACTCTTCTCCCATCACTCTTGCAGATCCTGTCGTTCCCCCTGGCCTCCTGTTTAATTCTCCTTCTACTTCTTTTCATTGTTTCTTTACAATATTTTGCCTCTCTATTTTAACTCCCTCAGAGACAGCCTTTTGAGAAACCTTTGACAAACTTTTGTTTCTCTTCCAGGGTCCAATCTTGCACAGGCAGCAAAGGGATAAGAGAAGGACGGAATTTGGCATAGTCTACAGTGCATCTCCAATAAATGGCCAGCAGTCCACCCGTATATAAACTTTCAGGTAACAACCTCTGCGATGTATGTGTTTAACTAGAAATACATGAGGAGCAGTTTTTAGTCTATACATTCTGGTATGAAAAGTATTTAATAAGTTGTCTGTTGTAACTGCAAAGTGAATTTAGCCATTATATTCCTTCAGCATGTTCCTCATTCAGTGAAGCATTTAAGCACGTTTAAATTAAAACTATAGTGTGGTCTTACTGGCTCCAAGATTAAGGATATTTGTTCATTTACCTATACCTTAAGCCATTTATTCCCATGTGATGCTGGGAAACTTGGCTAACAAAAGCAGCTGCTGATGTTAAACTTCTGCCAATAGCAGCTAAAAGAGTTCTGTATAATCCCATACTTCCTATGTTACATATGTAATACATTCAAACTTGCACCTTAAACATCCAAAAAGTATATTAAAAGTGGGACAGAAATTGTAAAAGTATTCCAAAAGCAGAGACACATGTAAATGGGGGTTATGTGCAGGTAATTTTTTTCCCCTTACAGGGGCTGTTTAAAAGCCGTATTTACTCGTATTCTGTAAACATATTAGAGAGGGAAAAAGTGCAAAGCACACTGATTGGGTTATTCTGAAATCCCCGCTGTCTCCACACAAAGGCAGCAGTACAGAATACAAATATTGCTTGATACCCACGTTTCTAATTACTTGCAAGATTTGTATCTAACAAATATATGACCTAATTTTCTCTGAAGCATCTAATCCTATTGTTATTTCAAAACCTTCTCAAATATGCATTTTAGGAAAAAACGACATGAAAAGAAAAAGTACTTGCGGAAGACGGTTAATCTTTTTTTTTTTTCCATGGCTTGCAGCTGTCAGACAAGCAGACAACATAAACCAGTAATGATCAAATTGGATCAGATTCATGCCTCAAATAATGCCATTGTACCCAACAGTTACATAAGAGATGAATTTGCAACATTCATTGCATTTTATGAAATAAAATCAGGACAAATCAACAGTGACTATTAAATTTCCTCTATAATTTAGTGTAGTTTATTCAAAAAACTCAATCAGCCATGAAACAGAAGGTCATCTCTGGAATTCCTGCAAGAAGTTTATCGTTCGTGACTCCTACACTCAGGGCTGAGATGAATGATTAAATATTTATTTATTAAAAATACTGGTTTAATTCTTAACTATACCTTGTAGCCCCAGCGTTTGTATTTTATTCTTTTTATATTATGTGGGCGTTTTTCACAAAAATAATTGATTGGAGATTTCATTAAGATAGATACCTGTAGAAGAGATATTGTCCTAGTTTCTTTCATACTGCCTGCACGATGTGTGGAACCTGCATGGGAAGCTGGACTAAAACCTGTCAGCTCACTGAAAAAGTGTTCTCAGGAGCAAATGGTTTTTTATCAAAGTCGTCACTCCATACATCATCATTTAGCATCTGTAAGAAATTTAAGTACTGATTTTTAATTGTTTAGTTTTGCTATGGGTTTTGACAGATATGTCTTTGCTTTTGTTTCTCTATAAAGAAATCAGAAAAAGCAGAGAAATAAAAGAATAGGGCAAAATAAAATCCATTTTTTCCTGCATGTGCTAAGATGATAAAATTAACTTCTAAAAGTAGCCTCTCAAAAGGTGATTTCTCAAATTTTATTGCAAAGTTTTGGTCTGTAATATGAAAATACAGCAAAGAACTACTTTCATGTTGAGTAAATTTTCTCCAAATCTATTCAAGATCTTTTAAATTGGATTCGTTTTATGTTAAAAGGTAGTCTTTGTTACTGTACCTGTAGAGATTTCCAACGATGTTGTTTCAATTTGGTTGTATCTTACATAGTATCTTTAATACTCTGGATTTCATCACTATATACAAAGATAGATCACTATTGTTTTCATTTACCGGACAGGGTAGTTGAGATATCATTTAAGAGACTTCAAAGCACCATAGTCAGCAGTGGAGTCAGAAGCAGAATTAGAGAGGGGGGTTGATGTCTCCGTTGGGCAATGCTGGCTCCATGAAAGGAGAACGTCCCTCATGAGATGATTCTGAAATGAGGTTTTGTCCATATTCATTTGCTTTACTTTCCCAGAGGATTAAAACAGAAAAGTGGAATAGCTCTTCTGGTGGCAGAGTGGAGTTAGCCTGGCTGCTTTGCTTGACACATAGAGAAGAGTTAAATGTTCCAGGAGCAGACTGGCTATTTAACTGTTCTCCTGGCCCTCATCATCTCTAAAAAGAGATTTACCCCTAGTTTCCAAGACAATGTGGGACATGCAACAGCAAGGGACTATGTAAGATTGCTGATAACTGCTCACATTAGAAGTTATCAAATTTGAAATTGGCAAATGGAGAAAAGTTTGTAAAAACTGTGAAATTAGGAGACTCACAATAAATTTAAACTTCCTGTTTATGAAATTTACTTTCACTGGTTTGGGGACAAGAAAGGACCTGTGTAATCATCATCATTACCTCCTTCAGCTTTCTGCTCAATGCAAGCGACAGATCTCCATCCAGCATTTGGACACCAAGTCTATAACTTTTGATTGAGCTGTACCATAATAATTTAGAGAAGCAGTCATCTTGATTTCAGATTCCAAGAAATAGAGCCTCCATTATACCCAGAAATGAGGTCTTCAAAAAGACGGAGTTCTGCACCTTTAAATTTGTTTATTTCTAATGTAATTATCTCAAACTAATATTACATAGCTAATCCTGCAAATGTGTTCTCATTGACTTCCATGGGATGTGCACAGGAACCGTTGTTTACTAGATTAAATTTTTAACAAATACCATGTTACCTCATCATATTACATCTCAATTACTGCAGCATTTCTTCCTATGGCCTTGGCAAATGGTGCTGCCAAGACACCCTTCCGAGCTCGTTGCTTCTCTATCTTTTTGCATCTTCCCTTTTCCCTCCTACATCAGATATAAATTGTGTTCGCTTTCAAGGTCTTGTAGCTGTTCCTTCCTTACCTACCATCAGTCATTCAGTGTCACAAGGTCATCTCCTGCCTCTGACTGGCTTGCAATGCTGTCTTCATTTTCCGCTCGCCACCTTTCCAGACCCAATACTTTTCTGCTTTCTCTGCTCTGACTCTCATGCCTAATATGCCAGCTCTGTTTATCCACCTCCTTCGTATTCCCTCTCAAAACTTTTTGCTGTGACATTTGAGACGAGCCTGGGCTGTAAGTGTGCTGGAATCGTGGCTGTCCTCTGTGCATTGTCTGCCGGTCGAACCTGTTCATCATCACATATGTAGATTGTATGCTTTAAAGGAGCATTTTAAAATATCGCCTGCCATAAAATTAGGAAAAGTTACTAAGTTGGTCACAGTGACAGTATTGTCCCAGCTAGATGTCTCCTTCGATGTTCTCTGCTTTCATTCCCAGCCTATCTGCAGATGAAACGTTAATTTCAAAAAGTCTATTTGAAATACTGTTAGTACAGCAAAAAATAATTAAGAATCAAAGGGGGCAAATATTTTGCCAGAAATTAGTATGTAGAAAACTGTACTTAAATAAATCTTGGCTTTATATATTAGTCAGCTGTCAACTAATAATAAATTATGTTCAGTCCCTCCCTTGTTATAAATACATATTGATTAGTTTTAAACTCTGAACTTCAGAATGAGTTATATCTGGTCGTTGCTAAACTGCTTTCTTCTCTAAGAAAAAAAATCTCCAACACCTATTATACTGCATTTAATTAAGACAAGCATCAGCTTTATGTACCATTATTTGCTTCTGCCAAGTCTCTGTGGTATAAATATTGAGCAGTCACATCTCCCGAATACTAATCGATCCTTCCTGAATTCTAAATGATTACATAAAGTTTAGGAAATGTTTCTTTGCCAGTATTAACCTCCGATGCTTACTGTAGTTAGACGTTAGGGTTGAGATATGAGCCTGAATTTGACACATGTGCAGTAAGTCCTTTTCTAAATTCCAGTATAATGTGGGGAAGCCTGAAGGCCATGGCTGAATGCTAATCGTACAGAACCCCTCAGCTGCTTGCTTACGGGTGTTTACCAGGTGCCACCTTACAAGTACACTGGGGTAACAGAATGGATGAGTATAAGAAAACTGCCAATGGATTTAATAAAACCACCTCGTAATAACAGCCCAGTTATAAATGTGCATTATAAATAACATATATATTTACAAACCACAAGAAGTAAACCAGCTAGAGTGACCATTTTGAAGATGACTGCATTAAACCCTAAGCACTGTGTGTCACTACGAGTAAGAAGTGAATGCATTTGTGATGACAAGCCCGTCCCTGGATAAGTGCTCCATTACCAGGTTGCCTTGGCTTGCCGAGGAAGAGTTTCATGTGATACTGTTTGTTTCAAATTCACAGCAACTACTTCAGATCCTGGGGCTGAAGGTGCTTTGTGAAGGCAAAGTAGCATCATCTGTGAGCTTCTTGGTATCCTGCCAAAGATCTACTGGGCCCATTTCACAGGAAGGAGAAGAGAGTCCCTGAAAAACTACAAGTGGCTCATCTACCCAATGAAAGCATGAGAATGCTGGCACTCTGGATCACCTAGACCACTGTCCCATCTTTGACAGTGACCAGGAGCAGATGCCCTAGGGAACAGTGTAAGAAGAAAAAAAACATGCAGCGCTACCGCCCAGCAGCGGTCGCTCAGGCTCCGGCAGCTGGAGGTCAGCAACAGCCAGAAGTAGTTTTTTGTATTTCATAGCTTTCAATGGATTTTTCTTCTGTTAAGTTCTCTAGGTGACTTCAGTAACCACAAAAATTTTCGGCATCCTCTACACCTTGGGCAAGCTCTTGCCAGAGCTGGATAATATGCTGTGTTTAAGAACGAATTCTTGTGTTTTGAGCCCGTTACCTGCTAGTTTTATTAGTTTCGTTCTGATACTAAAACGTCAGAATGATAGGAGGAAGAAGCTTTTTGGCTAATTCTTGTTTTTAGTAAGTCCCCATGTTTAGTGGACTGTGCTTTAAAGACTTAGTGCAGTCTTTTTAAACAGAGAGTATAAAAGGCAGATCCATATTTCTTGAAAGTACAATGTGGTTATTAGAAAGGCTGCAATAAAGATCCACATGCCAAAATTTGCTAGGTTTTGCCTTCATGTCTGTATTACACTTGGGTGTCTATAATCCGGATGAATTGGTTCTTGTCTAATTTTCTGGCTTTGTTTAATGTTTTCCTTTTGGTCTGATAAAACCTCCTGCCTCACTAATTCCTTCATTTCATTCTCCTGTTGTTTTTCTTTGTGTGTCCTTAAGCATCATAAATACTACCAAAATTTAATCGATATTCCTTGTTATATTACTTCCAGTTGATGCTTGTTCTTAGTCTCCTACCTGCATACATGACACCCCAAATTAAACTCTCAGCAAGAACTGTGGATGTGAAAATATGTACAGCCCCATGGTTCATTATTGTTTGCTGCCACATTTTTTTTCTTATCTTTTCTGTATACTTAGATTGCGAGCTCACTGTGGCACGATTCTGGCTAGTCTGCAAGTCTTATAGACCAATGATGTTACATAAAGTGTACTAAAAAATGCTATAGCTAATTTAAGTATTTATGTTTTTCCAGCTCCAGAGTGTTGTTTCATGACTGCATTGATGTGAGTTACTGGAATCAGGTGAAACAGAGCACAGGCTGGCTTTGTGCTGCGGCTCCTTGGGTGCATGTTTGCAGGAAGCTCCGTCTAGTCCTGTGACTGATGAGGGTAGAGTCTGCCTTGAAAATGCTTCATTTCAGCCTGTTTCATCTGCAATGAAGACCTTAACAGGCAGATTTCTTTTCCAAAAGTGCAAATGGTGGAGCACAGTACCTCCAATACCTCCTCCCATCTCAGCTCTGACATTTTAGGGAAACTAAAAGCAAGGAAAGATTAATTTGCTGATATTCCTCTTATTCGACAGAAACGGGAATGGAGTGTTGCAGATCTGGATGGATTTCTGCT